GAGAAATAAACTTGGATTTTAGACAACTTCGATACTTTGAAAAAACAAATCGGCATTGAGAAAAAAAGCGAAGAAAACTACTTGATATTCCGTCCATTCAATTTGAGCCCTTGGTATTTGACTGAGGCACGTTTCTTTCCTCGGACTGACCGAACGAGGTCGTTAAAAACGTCGAAGTGCCATTCTGTTAAGTAATCCTTGACATTTTGGCGGGAAATAGGCCAGCAGGAAGCAAACTACTCATTGAAAGGCATGCTCAATCCCGGAGGGGGTGTTCAGGAAACGAGATCTCCTGCGAGACGGTAATTGACGAGAAAAATTGCATTCTTTCTATTCAATTTGCGAGTCAACGCGTCACACATTCATGAAATTTCTCCCTGAAATTGAATTAATCCCAGCTGTCTTTGTTGGATCTCATTTTATGACGAAACTATTTATGCGAAAGTCATATGTCTTGTGCAGACATTTACAAAGAAATTTTTACTCACGCGGGTTTTATTTTCCGAATTTAAGAAATGACAGTTTTTACCAACGACGACAAAAAAGGGAGAAATATTAAGCGTTTTTCATTCAACAGGAACTTTATATAATCAGGACTAGAGATTCAGAAAGCCTTTGGATCCACAAAAACAGAATTTGAATAAACATTATTCCTGTGATTCATGAAGTTTACAAAAAGCAGTACCGATCTTGTACCCAACATTGACGTCACCGACGTTATATTGTCCTTAAATCTTCTTTGTTGGAAAGTGAGACTTTGGCCCTATGCTCGGTCATTGTTTTTAAAAAAAAATGGAAGTTTTCTGGTGAACTGTATTGAATGCCTTTTCTCTGTGTGAGCGCCAAGAATATGAACCGAATCCTCTCAAGCAACCTCTTCAGACATTTACACAGACTCTCCAATCCCCATCTTCCTCCTCAGGTCTCCTCTTTGTCAAGGCTGATGATCCCCCCGCGCGATTGTTCCAATAGCGCAGCTGCTCAGCCACCTGCCGACTCAATACCGGAGATGTTCGGCGAGCGCACGAGATTGGGATGTTTTCAAAGCCCCCTGTGACCAAGGGTGTCTGCGTGTTCCCCCAAGCGAGCCAGCGTATACCCAGCAAGAAA